AAGGTAGTCCTGGTTTACCAGGTCCTCCGGGTGAGAAGGAGAAAGGTCTTCCTGGACCACCAGGAAAGAAGGTCCACCAGGTTATCCGGGATTAGCAGGCTTTGTTGGCGAGAAGGGAGACATTGGTGTGCCAGGAATAAATGGTTTGCCAGGAGCACCTGGTGAAAAAGGAGACACTGGTCTGATTGGTCCACCTGGTCCTCCAGGTGTTGCTGGTATTCCAGGAGCAGATGGAAGCAAAGGTATAAAGTAATTCAGTTTATAAGTCATTAAATTTAAGATATGTTAATTAAGTGTTACTAATAATAAATACAATAATTTATTAAATACAATTACTTGACTTACAGGTGAGCCAGGATTACCAGGAGAACCTGGTAGATCGGGTCTCCCAGGATTTCCAGGCGCAAAAGGGGACCGTGGTGAACCAGGTATTGATGGATCAAAAGGATATCCTGGTAGACGAGGATTACCTGGTCCTCCAGGTAGACTTGGATTGGATGGTATACCAGGTATAAAGGGTGAACGCGGTGAGAAAGGATCGCCGGGATTCCCTGGGTTACCAGGTATGGAAGGAAAACCTGGTCGTACCGGTTTATCTGGACCAAAAGGAGATCAAGGACTACCGGGTGCACCTGGTTTACCAGGAATGATTGGTTATGAGGGAGCCAAAGGTGATACTGGTTTCCCGGGTCCACCGGTAAATATTTTCAATTTTATAATTATATAATAGTAATTATACTATATAATTTATTATATAATTATATAAATTATATATCTGTAAATATATTACTGTAATGAGTACACACACACACACACACACACACACACACACACACGCGCGCGCGCGCGCGCGCGCGCGCGCGTGTGTGTGTGTGTGTGTGTGTATATGTATATATAATTATGTATTCAGGGAAGAAAAGGAGAACCAGGAGAAGTATCAGAAAAAGGACAAAAAGGTGAGCCAGGAATGCCTGGAATACGAGGTCCACCAGGTCCTCCAGGACGAGATGGTATCGATGGAGCAAAAGGAGAACCTGGCAAAATAGTTCCGGGACGTGATGGATTACCTGGACCGAAAGGTGAGCCAGGTCTATCGGGTCGAGATGGATTACCGGGATTACAAGGTCAAAAAGGTGATACTGGCGTACGAGGATTCGCTGGAATAAAAGGCGACTTTGTAAGTCTTTTTTTAATCTATTATAAAATGGCCATATTAAAAATAAATATTTTGTAATTATATAATTTTATTTCTTTTATTATTAGGGTCCATCGGGTATACCCGGAGCACCAGGACCTCCAGGCATAGACGGACTTCCTGGAGAAGTTGGTGATATCGGACCACCAGGAGTACCTGGTTTTCCTGGTCTTGATGGCGAGATAGGTGCTCCTGGTCGGCCTGGACTTGATGGTGTTAAAGGAGATCGTGGATTACCAGGTAATTGATTTTATTAAATTTAAAAAAAAGAATATTTATTATTGTGATACTAGCTTAAATAAAAAATATGTTAAAGACAAAATTTTATTATTCATTTATTGTTAAAAATATTATTACTTTGCAATTAAATTGCATGTATTAAATTTATTTAAAATAAGATTTCAATTATTTTATTATATTGTGTTATTTTTAAAAGTGCATTTTATATGCAAGATAAATATTAACATTTTAATAATATGTGAAATTCGGACTTATATATTAAAATGATTAGATTATATCAAACTAAATTATATAAAATAATATAAAATTAAAATTATATTATTTCAGGGCTCGTTGGATTACCTGGTATTCCGGGAGCATCTGGAGAAAAAGGAGATCGTGGTCCCCCTGGACCAACAATCCAGATTAAGGGTGAAAAGGGTGAACCAGGTATTCCTGGATTTCCTGGAGTAAAAGGAGACAAAGGTGATCAAGGTTTATCAGGTATAGTTGGTTATGATGGTGAAAAAGGTGATAGAGGTCTACCTGGACCCGAAGGAGCTCCCGGACCTCACGGTGCTCCTGGACCTAAAGGTATATTTTCAATTTACATTGTATATAATGTTGCTAATATTGCTAATAATAAAAAAATTTAATTATAAATATATATAATAAAGATTAATAAAGATAAGGAAAGTATTCAAATATAATATTGCTTTTCATTTATATTATAAAAATTTTATTAATTTTTAAATATATAATTTATTAAATATTATATGTTTTGTATAGGTGAACAAGGACCTTCTGGTATTCCTGGAGTTCCTGGAGTTACAATAAAGGGCGAAAAGGGTTTGCCCGGTTTACTGGGTAAACATGGTAGAGATGGTTTCCCTGGACGAGCCGGCGAGAAAGGTGAACCAGGATTGCCTGG